TTGGGCATCTCCCTCAAGATGAACTGATGCCATCAGCACCTTTTCTTCCTTTGGAACCCCTTGCCACTTGAATATCTGCTCAGCTCTACGAAGCCAGCTTGTTGGATCTTCATTCTTGTTATAGCGTGGGAACTCTAGTTTTTAGACTTTTAGACATCGAACTTGGTGTGCTGTTGGAACCATTTGCCCAATCCCCAACCATCCTCAAGGGTGAGCTTGATGCGCCCACTGTTTCCTTCCCTTTTGACCCTTCCAAATGATTGAACTTGGCTGAAAAGTTCTCTATCATCTGGTTCATCTTTCCCATTAACTACTCATGACTAGCCACTAAAGACCCGACTTCTCCTTTGATTTGTGAGAAACGCCTCTCATAGTTGGGATCCATAGTTGGCTCTGATACCAGTTTGTCACGAGCCAGGGTTTGTGATCTCTTGACAGGTTTACTCACCGTAGAAGGCAAGCCGGTTTTCAAAGGGGAAAAACTCTTCTTCTTCCCTATGTTGCCGTCTACCAAAGGATAATTGGATTAATTCGAGAAAACCCATCTTCCTAGACAATGTTTTTTTGGAAAGTTCAAGATGAAACATTTCATTTTCATTACTTCAGAGGAGAAAATATAGAGTTTACAAGAAAGGCACCAATAATAAGGAGAAATAGCAGAAAAAAAAAAAAACTAATGGAGAATACTCTCCTTATTCTCAACAACTAAAAGAGTTACGTATAGAGATACGTTAACTATTCTAACAAATATTCAAACTGAAACAAAAATTTCTCTGAATTTTAATACTGCCTTCGCATGCACCATGCTAACGTTTTCACGTTTGAAAACAAATGCCACGAGTGCAAAGTGTGCCTGGATTAATTGGACCTATTTCCACTCACCTGAACTATAAATATGAAATATCTAGCATATATATCAGAGGTGGTGCACGAACTTTGGCAAATAATCAGATAGTCCTTGTTAATAGGGTGGAGCTGAGGTGAAAGGATGGAACCGTGCTTCAAGACCTGTGATTAAGAAAGATGTCAGAGGCCCGAGGAATTATCTTTGGGTAGGCACTCCGACGCTTAAGTCAGTAGGAGGTAGCAGAAGGTCGGGCCGAGCAATGAGAGTGTTGGGCTGAGCAAAGGGAAAGTATGAGTGCTAGAAGTCTGATGTCCTTACCCCGAGTGGGGAATACCTTTTTATAGCCGCAAGTTCGTTTCCTAGTTAGATTAGGCTTTTGGGTGAGGTTCTCCGCCAATGTCTTAGGGATAAGATCCTAATCCCCAGCGGAGTTATCCTCATCCTTCTCCTATTCTTGGTCGTACTTATCCGCGTGTCGTGGGGCTGACGTAGTTGAGAGAATAAGGTAGAGGGGGCTACAGAAGTAGCGTAGCACGGCCCTTGTTGTGGGGTGTGTGTATGTCGTAGATCGAAATGAGGTGGCCCGTATGCCACCGTATGCCGATGTTGGGTGGCCAATATTGGGCAGCCAGCGTTGGGCGGCTAGTGTTGGGCAGCCAATGTTGGGCGGTAAGTGTTAGGAAGCCAACGTTGGGCGACCAGTGTTGGACGGCTAGTTCCAGGCTACCTGTGTTGAGCGGCCAGTGTTAGGCGGCCAGCATTGGGTGGCTAGTGTCGGGTTGCCTATGTTGCGCGGCCTGTGTGGTGTGTGTATGCCACCGTATGCTGTGGAGCTGACTGGGCGGTGCCGATGTAGGCAAGATGATTGGTTGATGATTGGGCGGCCACATGTCATCTAAGGCTAGCTTAACCATGACCCGAACACCACTCCCCCAGTTTTGAAGTCGAGAAATGAAGTGCTCGGCTGAGGTGTAGCGTGGCAGCATGCTTTGTTTCTCGGTTGAGGAACTCCAAGTTGAAGTCCTAGTTGAGCGTTTTGTCCGCCTCGCATTCCTCGGCGCTTGGTGGAACTCGTCACCCGCACAATGTAGGTTGTGGCTGAGGAGTTCTTCGATCATCAGCTACGGAATTTCAAGAATTCTAATTTTGGAATCCGAACACCACTCCCCCAGTTTCGGAGTCGAGGAGAGGTGTGCTCGGCCAAGACATTATGCGGTCAGAGAGGAGTGCTCGGCCGAGGCATTGCGCGGTCATGGGAGGAGTGCTCGACCGAGCTATTGCGCGGTTGTGGGAGGAGTGCTCGGCCGTGGCATCGCGCGGTCATGGGAGGAGTGCTCAGCCGAGGCATTGTGCGGTGTTGTTGGTAGCCAGATAATCGAGTAGGCGAATGTTGTTCGTAGCCTAAAGTAACAAATCACCGAGCTGAAGGCAGAGAGGAAGTGGCTGAAGCAGGAGGCCGCCGAAGCAGCGGTGGCTCAATTCAAGGGCTTGGTTGAGTACCGACAAGAGATGGATGAGTATGCCTCGAGCTCTTGTGAAGTAGGGTTCAACGTCTTCTGGAGGAAGGCACTGCATCACTGTCCGGAGTTGCCTGACATTGGGCAGACTTGGGGTGCATATGACGACGAGACCCCACCCGTTGAGGATTGAGTTGCCATGGGGTTTCTTTTATTTCTCTTGTTCTTTTTGTAATAGCTCGGTATGTTGAGCTTTGAATCATGTATTGACGATGTTAACTTAATGAAAATTTACTCTTTTTGTTTCGAACTTGCGTACCACTTCTCTCTCTCCTTTTTTTTTCCAATTGGGTTCCTCAGTCTTGTCGTGGCTGAGGTCTGGGGTTGGCCGAGATCTTCAGTCTCCAGTTAGTAAGGCTGGAATATGTTCTAAGCTCTCATCTTCGGGACGCTCTGTTACTTGTCTCAGGAGCTTTTTGGTTGTTTGAGGACTGGCCGTTGCTCGGCTAGCTCTGGTCTGACTATTAGTCAGTGGATGTGTGGAGTTCAATGACCGCCCTCAGGCCCTGATGGGTGGGGGCGTTCTTCTCCGCTTTAGGCTCAGGCCGTGGACATTCAAGGTGGTTTACTTGATCGGCGATATGCTGCCGAGCTACGCATCATGGGCTCAAGCCATTCGAAGATCAGCCAAGTCAATGTTGTGTGCCGAGCTACACATGTGTTGCACGGTGGGGTGCTTCATTCCTCGGCTATGGAACTCTAAATTGAAGTCCTGGTTGAGCGTCTTTTCCTCGGTGCTTGTCGAAGCGTGCATTGCAAGGTGCAATTGAAGAGCTTTTCGATCGTTGACTACGGAACTTTGAGGATTGCAACTTCGGAATTCGAATGCCACTCCCCCAGTTCTGGAGTCGATGAGAGCAATGCTCAACCAAAGGATTGCGCGGATGTTCACTTCAACGCCGAGGAGTCTTCAATTGGTCTTCAAGGTCTGGGCTTCTCTATTGCTCGGTTGGGCTATGCCGAGGAAGGGCTCTTCGTTCTTTGACCGAGGAAGGTCTTCTTTGTTTTTGGAATCCGAACACCACTCCCCCAGCTCTAAGGTCAAAGGGAGGAGTGCCTTGGTCGGGGCACGGCGTTGGCTCTTTGGCTAGGGCCGTAGTGTGTCGAGCTCGTCGTCGGGTGCGCGAGGAAACCCGGGGCTCGGTTGGGCCAATGCTTTTGGGTGAACTGGTGTAGTTAATGTATGTACCACTTTTCTCTTTTCCTCTTCTTTTTGTGAAATCTTGGTCCTCGGTCTTATCAGGACTAAGGTTGGGAGTTGGCCGAGATCTTCTTGGTCTTCAGTTTGGGCGGCCGAAGTGCGTTCTTAGCTCTCAACCTTTAGGGATGCTTAGTTGTTGGTCTCAGGATCTTTTCAGGCTCTTCAGGGGGCTGGCTGTTGCTCGGCTAGCTCTGGTTTGACTGTTGGTCAATGGGTGTGTGGAGTTCAACGACCGCCCTCGAGCCTTGGCAGGCACGGGTGTTCTTCTCCACTTTAGGCTCGGGCCGTAGAGAACCGAGGTGATTTGCTTGGTCAGCCATGCGTTGCCGAGCTATGTGTCATGGGCTCAGGCCGTTCGAAGGTCAGCCGAGTCAACGTTGAGTGGCCTATGTTGCACGGCCAATGTTGTGTGGCCAGTGTTGCGTGACCTGTGTTGAGCGGCCTGTGTTGCGCGACCAGTGTTGCGCGACTAGTGTTGCGCAGCCAATGTTGCGCGACTAGTCACTATAGGAAAAATCGGTTTTAGCAACGGACAAAACCGTTGCAAAAAGATACCAAAAGCCGTTGCTAAAGGCTATAGCAATGGTTTAGCCACGGTTTTTTGTTGGTGGCAGATATTAGTGTGGCTAAAACCTATAGCCATGGATATTGTACACTGTGGCTGAAAATATACATATAGCAATAGTTTTAACCGTTGCTAACGAAAAATTTTATTGCAATAGATTCATTTTGTACCGTTGCTAAAAATTGCTATAGCAATGGTTTTAGCCGTGGCTATAGAATATGGGCTATTGATGAATAAGTAGAAATAGCAACGATTTTAGATAAAACCGTTGCTTAAAGTTTTAATAATTCATTTGTATTACCACATTTTTTTACAGTAATAGTTGCTATAAAATTCTTATAGCAACGGTTAGTGTCAAAAACCAATATGACATGCCCGATACGGGGCGTATTGTATTGTATCGTATCTTTTAAAAAAGATACGGTCCGAAAGGATTGTTTCCAGGTGTTTCAAATCCTCAATTTTTTTTTTTAATAATAAAAAGCATGTTTAAAGCTTTCCAAAAAACCAAAATGTAAAAAAAAACTAAAAAAAATAAATTTTCGGTCGTTTCTAAGAATCGATAAGATACGACCGAAACTTTGAATCTTGTGTATAATAGATTATTAAATGTTTAACAAGAAAAAATTATGAAGCTTTTTCAATGCACCACGTCTAGAAAAACTGTGGATAATATGGCAAACATGTGGATAGCCTTTCCACCTCTAATTTATGGGTTTGTGCTAATAATTAATAAACGAGCTTATGAAAATTTGTTTTCTTAGCTTATGGTCCGACCGGATTCATCCCCAATCAGATCAATTAACCAATAACCGTAAAAGGGGTCTCCGGTCTCCTCCAAGAGGTTGTATGGTGCAAAACTGCGTGTGACCCACTTTATACAACCTTTTCTCACTTTCCAGAATCCAGACCATAACCCAACGCAGGAGTGCTGGGGAGCAGACGGAGGGGAATGGCTAGTTCTAGAGCTCTCGCCCCTGCCATTCTTGGCTCCATGCGTTCACGTCTTCTCCCCCTCCAATCTACCATAGTAACAAAAAGAATTTCGTCTCTTTCATCATATTCTGCCTCAAACCTTGGTTTCTCTCCTTCCCTGCGACTGAGAAAAGCTAAACCAGCAAGAAAGTTTATAATTCGGGCTGCAAGAACAGAGTCCAAAGGGGTCTCACTGGGGTTCCGAGCTCCTGAGTTTGAGGTGCTTCTTTGATTTTTTGGACTAATGTCATGTGGGCTATCTTCATTTCCTCTCATTTATTTGAAATGTAATTGGTTTGTCTTTCTTACGTTGATTAGTTTAGCTTCCAGAGCCTCTCACGGGGAAAATTTGGAAACTTGATGATTTTGAGTCGTATCCTGCTTTACTGGTAAATGGCCGATTCCTTTGAGCGTCTACTTTTTGACATTAATTGGTTTTGATTAGTGAATTCTGTAGTTCTTTTTGTATTTTTTTGAGCAAGTAATGGGTTTTAAGCTCCTACTTTTTGTATTTGTTTTTTTGAGCATATTGTGAGAGTTCAAGTTCCAGTGTTTCCTTAAAAGAATCTTCCAATCGTTTTGTTTCTCTTGCATACTGTCATATTGTTGTCAGTTTTCTAGTGATCAGCACTTTTCTAGAGATAACTAATTGGAAAAGTTAAATGAAATGGAGGATAGTGGATCTCACAGTCAATAAGTCAACAACAATCTCAAGAGGTCCTTTGATTTAGTTACTTCTCTTATAGTTGGGATAAGGCTTGGGTGATGATGATGATGCTATCTTCTAGCTGATTATAATTTGTCTTGCTTCGGAAATGAAGCTTGATAGGTAGTGGTGGCAACCTCTTTTCCTACATATCTAGTACACCTTAGCCATTTTTCAGAAACATCTTCTGCTTGCAGAAACATCTAAAAACGAATTAAAAAATACTTGGATCCCAAAAGAGAAAGTGATGGGTGCATTTCTCTTATGTGTTGGAAGGATTCAAGGATGTATTCATAGAGAAAGGGTAACGGTATGTCTGACATATTTTTTTTAGTAAAGGGAAATGCAACTCTCATTTTCTCGCTGTCAAGGATAGGAATGCAGATATAAATGTCTTGTATGATATGATGATAAAACACTTACATTATTTCTTTTGAGAAAGGGTAACACTATATATCATTGATGAAGGATGTACAAAAGCATTTAAAAGAAGAAAGAAAACATTGGAACACATTGACAACAAAAATTAGGTAGGCTGAGAGCTATACAAAAAGTGCTTCTCACACCTGACCTCTGAAGAGTGAAGAGCATTAGCAATTGTAGCCGGTTTCCTTATAATCCATCTTCTTTGAATTGAAAGGAAGATAAGATATGTCTAATTTTCATAATGGCAATTATTTACCTCCCACTGCCCCTTGATCAAAATGCTTTCCACCTAATAATGTTGCCCGAATTCTCTCCAGTGGCAAGGAAGGGCTAAGTCTTCTTTCAATTGTAGCCCCTATACAGAGAGCTGATACCTCCACTTTAGTGGAGTTGCATTACCTATGGAACCACTGACTGACTGAAGACCCATAGAATGCTTCTTCTGAAATAGTAAAGGCCCCACCAAAAACTCCAGCACTAGGATGCCTAAAAAGCTTCCACCAGACTGCAGCCTCACCTCTTCTTTAATCAGGGGGAGAGAAATCTCCATTGAGAGCTTATGGTGTAGAGAAGATTTGGGAATTTCACTGATCAAAAAAAGATTTGTGAATTTCCACAACAACTCTATAAAACTCAGTGAGAGATACACCTTTCGATTCCTTGGATGACAAGACTATGAGTTTAATATGAAAAACACCAACCTTCACAAGGCTCCAAAAGAGAACTCTTTCCCTTTGGAGATATAGCTATTGTTTCTCTTGTCAAACTCCCCCACATGATTACATGAATGGTGAGCTTCCAATTATTAATGTCTAGAATATCTCCTGGTGCTACTCATTGAAGCCCCACAAGGTCCAAGAAGAAATGATAGAGCTGCTTGGGGTGCAATAGAAGATATATGGCTGATCTGGCATCTTTAATGGACATGATGCAACTTGGGAGGATAAATATCAATTGTTGAACTTTCTTTCGAGGATGTCACATGTATTGACCTTTCCATATGCTTCTTTCTGCACCAAAGAAAAAAAAAAGAGAAAAGAAAAAACCTTTGGGAGAGTACAAGATAATCAAATCCTTTTCAGTGAAACTTTGTAACTAAGAATCCTTTCTCAATATTTATATCTTTCCAAATTTTGATGAAACGTCTATTTACTGCAATTTTTATATTATGATCTGTTAAACTATGCTGTTTATGTGTTTTTAGAAATGCTCATGTTGTAAATTGCATTCTAAAGTGTCCATACAATGCCAGTGTTGTAATGGATATTTGGAATATTTGACATGGCTATAGTAAGCATTACAGGTACTAGGTATCATATGTTGTATCTTCTTGTGTTCAAAGTTTTTATTCTCATTTCTCCAATTCATTAGTGATTTATTCAATGTGCAAAATCAAAACCGAAAAAGATTTTTTAAAACTCCTAAATTAGCTCATGGGATTGATAGGGGATTGTAGGATCTGAAGTGACCCAAGTGCATTCTTCAGTTGTCTGCAAACCAGAAATCTATCTTGCATGGTCACCTTGGATGTCCATGGATATATTGAAAACAAGGTTGAGTCCTTTGGATTACTTTGTGGCTTAGGCCCCATTTTTTTCAATTCACTATATGTACTTTTTGTGGGTTTATTCAAAGGGATCATATTTGAACTGTATTTCCCATTTTTTATCATTCAAAAAGCTTGGTTTCTTTACTTAATATTATTAAAATTCTTGTTATGGTACTGAACAGTGGTTTTCGGTACTGGCACTACAAACCATTGTAGGGCTATACATGTTGCACAAATAGGGTTCGTTATTGCATCCCATTTTTTGATGGAAGTGGGACCTGCATGGGATCTCTGGCCGACAAAACAACTGCTATTGTCAGCCAGTGTTGTGATTACCACATTGTGTCCAGTTTTGTGCAATACCCAAAGCTCTACAGCTGTTCATAGTACCAGAACTAAAGGCTACTGTAAAGTTATCTGGTTTCTCTTTTGCTTAAATCAACTACAATTGGATGCATGCTGACATTGAATTGATGCAGGTTATGTTTATCTGCAATCACTGCCCATTTGTAAAACACTTGAAGAAAGACATTGTGAAACTTACAAATTTCTACATGAAGGTAAATGAACTGCATCTCCTGCTTCAGGGGTTTATATAGTCTTAATGTTTCAGTGCCACCTGGTACCAGTCACCTGGATAAGTTATTCATTTGACAAAGAAATAATGCACAGATACTTGGTTCTCTGTTTTTCTGCAGAAAGGACTTGCAGTTATTGCGATCTCTTCAAATTCTGTAGCTACTCACCCACAGGTTATAATGAATTATTCTTTCAGAATATATCTATACCCTTGCCATATGGTTCTTAAAAAAGGATTTTTCTTATGCAGGACGGACCAGAATTCATGGCAGAAGAAGCTAAATTTTTTAATTATCCTTTTCCTTATCTCTATGATGAGGTATGCTTTTTATGATCTCAATCTGTTTTTCTTCTTTTACTTTTCCTTTTTCTTCATGGATTTACAAATATCTGCCTGTTTCCAGTGTCTCCTGGTGATATATTTATTGCTTTAATATAATCTAGCATGTTATTATTTTTTACACAGAGCATCACATTCTTATGATCATGTATCTTCATTAGATTCCATGTGCCATTTATCAGTGTAGAGAACATTGATGTGGGCCCCACAGCTGTGGTCCCACTCTGTCCGTAGGGTAGAATGTATCTAGTCACAGCTGTGGTTATTTT